AAGACTTAGCTAGCTGGATCTTCACACTTGGAACCACTTCTGGTTCTCAGGATTTCAAGGACATTTTGGTAGAATTTATGGTTCTGGGAAACTTATTTTGAGAGCAGCTTTAGGAGTCCTTCCTGACTGCCACCCCTGCATTGTCACACAGACTGCCTCACCAAACTCCCTCCCATGGAGGGCTGCTGGTTCTTTTTGCCCTGTCTTCACTCAGGTCCCCACTTTTCTAATCTCTGAACTGCTGGTGCTGCAGCTGCCTCAAGTCCCGGCTTGTATTGGTAGGTACATGATGATCTCTAGGCCACCAAGAGGTGGTAGTGTCCTCAGGTACCATCTGGGGTTCCACTCTGCCCACCACATTGTGAGTCATTGCAAAGAGGGGTTGGTGAGGAGTATTTAAACCTGAAGGCCTTTACGTGGAGGAGTGAGGAGACCTAATTTCTGTGGCTTCACAGAGAGCGAGCCTTGGTGGGCCAAAGAAACAGATCTAGTCTTGATGGAGACACCATCCTAACAATTGGAGTTGCACAGTGATGGAGCAGACCCTTTCACAAAGTAAGGACTTGGGTTAGGATGGTGAGATTATAGGTGATTTCCATATCTTATATCACTGAAACATGTTTTTTAAAAAATGTTGTGCTAGAGGCATTATTGCATAGTGATTGAGAACAGGGCTTTGGAGCCAGCCTGCGAGGAGCGTTACGAGAACCTACCGCATGGAGTGGTTACCAGGACTGTAAAGCACGTAGATCGGTACCTGGGTAGTAAGTCTCAGGGTAGTAAGTCTCAGTGAACGCTGTTATTATTTTAATAAAAAGAAAGAACAAGCCATTTTCTTTCCATACAACTATTAACAACCTCCTGGCACATGCACACACAGAGTGTCCCCCTTTTCTGGGATTTTTAAATAGCTGGCCTGAGTGCAGAAGAAGAGGTTTTTTGCTTTTGAAAGAAGATTGATTTAGATGACTTCTAAAGCCTTGTTCCGCCCTGAGATTATATGATTCTATGATCCCTGGTAAGTTTCTCAAATGGTTGAATTGATGAGAGCACAGCTTTGTCTGGGAAAGGGAGAAGGAACTAATGTAATGAGCAGTTACAACAAGCCGGGCACTTTGATGTGCCCTTTACCTCCTCTCATTTAATGCTGGAGCAGCCTTTAGGTGAGTCCCTCTAAATAAATATAATGTAGGGAATGGAGGCAGACACAGCTGAGAGATACTCACAGGGAGCAGGGCTGTGGAGGTGCTGTTTCTTGGAGGCACCACCTACTGAGTTTGGGGCAGGGCTGAGTGGGAACCTGCCCCGGCGTCAGGCTCAGCCCTGTCAACTTGGAAGGAGATGCTGGCATGATTTGGCTTGATTAACAGCAATATAGGCCCCAAAAAAGTAAAAGGAGAACAGAAATGGCAAGGGGGACAGAAGAGTTGGCTGTCACACTGACCCAGACCAAGCCCTCCCCTGTGGTTCTCTAGGCTGCTGTTCCTCTGCCTTGCAAGGAAGCGGCAAGCCCTTGTGGAATGAGTGGGCCTGAGGGCAGGGAATTTCTGCTGCCATCAGCCAGCACGCAAACCATCAGCATCAAAAAGCCTTCGATGTTGGCTAAGAGAATAATGAATGAATAGCACCCCAACTTGGGTGTCCCTCTTTGTGGAATGCAGTCTGAGACACTACAAATGCCACCTTCAATTAGTGTGAACCCAGAATGTCTAAACCAGGGTTTCTCAACCTAGGCACTACTGACATTTTGGGCTGGATAATTCTTTACTTTGTGGGCCATCCTGTGCACTGTAGGATGTTTAGCAGTATCCCTGGCCTCTGCCCACTAGATGCCAGTGGCACCTACACCCCAAGCGTGACGATCAAAAACGTCTCCAGACATTATCAAATGTCCCCTGGGGAGCAAAATTGCCCCTAGTTGAGAACCATTGGTCTAAATAACCAAAACAATATGGCGTTTGTAAAGGCTCCCTTTTCACATCACCAGATTTGCCTCATATGCATAAAACTAGAAGTGGGCTCTCTTCCCTCTGCTGCTCCCATCATCTCCTCACACAGCTCTCAGGCACAATGACAGCAGCGTGAGCTAGGAAACACACCTCTGGACTGTCTTCCATTATCTGTGCCAAGGGCCTCCTGCTCCTCCTCAGGCAGGCATCTGGCCTAATCTGCCTCGGCCTCACCAGATTGGGAGTGCAGGGCTGATGTCATTGTGCCTTCCTAGGAAGGGTGGAACAAAAGACGGAGTCCCCAAGGACATGCAGCTTCATCCTCAGCTTGGCCCGCTGGGTAGGCTTTTTTCCCTTCCTTTCCCTCCTTCCTGCCTCAGAAGTGTTTGTTGTTCTCCAAGCGCGCCATTGTAAGAGGATACGCCAAGCTGGCCAGGCTTTGTGTCTCTCTCCTGAGCCCGTTTCCTGCCCCTCATGTGTCGGAAGGGTGTTGATTCTGGTCCAGTCCCTGGGTGGAATCTTCCATGCCTTTTCTACTGTGGTGGCGTGAGCCTGAGGAACATAGACCCTATGTGAATTTTCTAGCACGCTTATGCTACCTGAAGCCTGCTCTTAACCTGTGTGGGGAGAGGAGAGGAGAGGGAGCAGGAGAGAGGGCAAGAAAGCAAGCTCTCATTTCTTTCATTTTATGTTTTTAACTTCTCCTCTTCTTCTCTCCCTTATTCCTGGAGTTCCTGAGGACTGTAGCAACCCTGGAGAGCCCTCCTCACACAGATCCTCAGCCTGTTTTATTTCCCCTCAGTTCTCTCTGTTCCACCTGTGACCTCTCTGTTTGCCTCTTCATGGGGAAGAGGGTTGGGGTTGGGCTATAACTCTTCAGGACAGGGTGCTGTGGGAGTGCGTTTACTGTCCTTTGAAGCAGATCCTCAGAATCTCCTCGTAAAGGAATTTAGAACCTGAAAGAAGCCAGGGGTGTTTCTGTAATTTCAGATTCACCCAAAGGAGTGACAGTTGGCTAAGGAACACATTTTGTGCTTCTTTATTTAGAAATACCTTAATCCAAGCAGGTTTTCATTTTGATCTTGTTCCCCTGATAGGCTGGGTGTGGAGTGACTTTGGGCCCCAAACCCTTTAATGACAGCCGAGGATACCCATCAAGGTCTTTATTAAAGACGTTTCCAGTTCCAGTGTAGCACATAAAAGATATTATAATTTAAAAAATATTAGATGACCCTGAATGCATCTGAACCGGGAGGTACTTGCCGTCAGTGAACTGTACCTAGGAGAAGTTTAACGTATCTGTGTACTTTGCTCTGGACCTGCTCTTTTGAATAGCCAACCTTAGGCCAAAAAATACAGCTCCCTGAGTCACTGTCATGAAGTTATCATCCATCATGATGATTGTGTGATTAATAATGCATGTAATCTTTTCTCTGTGACATGGTGTTATTGGTGCAGCTCCTTTTTCAGTCTGCAGCGTGCCCCTCACTGCCTTTTTCTTGTTCTCCCGATCGTGCTCTTTCTGGTCCTTTATTTTGGGTTGGCCTTTTTGTCCCTGGGGAAAGGCCTTCTTTTTCTCTGGATAGGCTGTTCCTTTAGGGACAGGCTGGACTGGGAGGAGCTGCTGGCTGTAGCAGCTGGCCAGCTCCCTTGGCAGGTGCCTCAGTGGGTGCCCCGGCTGCCTCACCTGGTAAAGGCTCATCCCACGTTGTCTCTATCTCGCTCCCTCCCTTTGGTCCGGTGGATGGAGGCCTCGGCAAAGCCTTCCAGGCAGACCTTTCCCTGATGCTCTGGCCAGCCTGGGAACCCAGTACCTGGCCACCGGGTGTATGCTCAGCAAGGGTGGCTTTTTAGTTGTCACCCAATGGTGCTGAAATGCATAAAAAGTTGTTGGAGTCTGCTCCCTTTTTTGTGGATTCGTATGTAAACATCTTGGTGGGTTTGGGCTTGCCCTGGAAGGAGTAGGTCTTGGGTCCCTTTGCTGCCAATTCATGCTGATGGAACTAGAAGTAGGGCAAATAACTGACAGAAGAGTAGCTCTGTGGAGCACAGTCAGGGAGTACGAGTGGGTGGTCCAGGGCACGTTCTGTGGATCCCTGTTGAAGGTCTTCCAGCACCCTGCCTTTAGAACATTCTGCAGAAGTAAGAAGATTGGAAGCCTGTTTGTATGGGATGTGAAGGGGCAGTTCTGGGTAGATGTGTATAGAGTTTTATGCTTTGAATTGGGCAGAACTTGATCACTGAGGTTTGAAAAACTGAATACTGTTTCTTGGATGACTTGGAGGTGCGAATACCACACTATAGGCCATAAACTAGCAGTTGCCTTTTCAACAAATGGTGGAGGTTTGGAGGTGGTAGCTGTCCACTCATCTTACAGAAGGGGACACTGAATCCAGTGTCTCAGCACATTTTTGGTGACACCTTGGGCCCAGGCCCTGCTCCCCTAATGCCTGGCCAGGTCTCTTTGCACTCTATCATGTTGCCTGCCATTTTCTCTGTTGTTCACGGGGTGTGTGACTGAACAGGTACAAGAGTCATTGCAGATCAAGTTCATGAGTGAATTTATCTTGTAGAGCGTTGCCTGATTCTTTGTACATGAGGGAAGCAATTTCTTGGTGTCTCTTGGGCTTTTCTACCTCATTTCCTTCCATATCCTGTGTGCTTCCCCCACACTCGCCTTTTGGAGGAACAACAGCTATAACATACATGTTAGAAACTTTGCCAAATATTATACTGTTGGGCGGGACTGCAGAGGAGCCCACTGTGATCTGTTGCATCCTGCTGCCTCTTCAGCAGAGATGGGAGAAAATGAAATGAATGAGATCAAAGGATATTCTGCTGGTGGTCTGCTTAGGGGCTCAGATGTTCAAGGCTTGTATGATTCCTCTATTCCCAAAGAGTTGACTGTGCTTAAGAGCAGCTAAATAGAGGTTTCATCAGAGTTTAATTTTGCTCTTCTTTCTTTGGATGGGGTCTCGTGACCCTGCTGTCACACACCTGCCGCTGCCCTTTCTGTGGTTGGTGGTAAAGCAAGCTCTCCTCTGCTTGCAGATGAACGCGAAGCCGTGCAGAAGAAGACCTTCACCAAGTGGGTCAATTCCCACCTTGCCCGAGTGTCCTGCCGGATCACAGATTTGTACACTGACCTTCGAGATGGACGGATGCTCATCAAACTGCTGGAGGTCCTCTCCGGAGAGAGGCTGGTAAGTGGGAATGTTATTGTCTTGCACTGTAGGTGGGAAAGTGTTTTAGAAAAATCAAGTGTGGACTTGTCTCCTATTGAATTCTGCAATTAATGGTTGATATTTTGGAGAAGGAGAATCTCGATAAATGAGATGAGTATGTTGGAGAAAGCTCCAGTGTAACGTTCTGAGTCTGGTGATGTTCTCGAACTCTGATAAAGTGGCCTCGTTCTGGTAATTTGTGACGTTACTACCTTTGGTCAGAAAGAGCTTGGCCGATGTCCCCAGTTAAACGGCACGGTGCTGGAAATTGAAGGGCCGGGCTTGGGTGCTGGTTCCAAGATGAATGTGTATCCTACAAGATCATGGAATAATTTTAACTTTGTGTCTTCTTGATTCTCTGGGAAATCTGAGCTGCCGTTTTAAGGTGGCAAGAGCTGAATTCAGCGGTCTCTGACGTTTTTTGCTTCTTGGCACACTTTTATTTTGGGAGTGGAGGGAGAGGCTGGTGTTGTATTGTCTCCTTGGGAACTTGGAGCTTCCGATGAATTCACCGTGCCTTTTCGGGCCGGGGAGTTGTGAGCCTACAGTGAAAATTTTATCCCCATTCTGTTTGCCAGAGCTACCTCGGCTGCCTCGGATGTGACTTTTGTTTATGAACCTTAAAACAAGGAAGCTTAAGCCAGTCACTGTAACTGATCCAACAGGTTTTGTCTTGCCTTTGTTTGAAAATGGACGCTGTATTCTACCAGAGCACACGCAGTTCCATAGGTGGTTGTGGGGCCAAGCCAAACGCTGACGCCCAGGGAGAGAGCCCCACATCTGTAGTGACATCACCAGGAAAATATGATGCTGGTGGTTGGCAGGGCTGCCAGAAAGCCTTATTTTTAACTTGATCTCCACCCTGTAACTTGATAGCCATGGTGGGTCTGTATGCAGACCGACCCACACACCTCTGACCCACAGGCAAGGGCTGAGGTTGTACCCTGCCCTATTATTAGCCCACAGACAGATTGCCCCTTTGCGCCTGGGTAAAAATGGAGTCAGTTTTCTCTCTCCCTGCGCCTCCCTTCATGAACAGGGGCCTCTAAAAGATAGTGAAGCCCCATCTCATCTACAGTTAGTTTTGTTCGTGCTCTTTGTTCCCTGAGCATGCAGGTCTTGTTGCCTCATTTCCTTTGAAAGTTTGTGGGTCAAGCTAGACAAACTAGATAAATAAAGGAGGCTCCTGCCCAAGACCATGATGGTGCCGTGAGGGCAGTGTGTAGGGGGGAGGATGGGGGCAGGAGGCCCATGTGGAGAGGGCAAGGGCTGGTCATTTATTGCATGTCGATTTGTTTTTTGAACTGAGTCTTGTTTGAGACCCTAGGCTAGAGTGACTGTGATATGCACCTATAAATGTAATTTTTGTAACCAACCTTTTCCCCTCCTCTCACTGTTTTTTTTTCTCTTAATGTTTAACCTAGTATGATTGTTTGATTATTTTTTTTTTTTTTTTTGGAGTGTGGTTTTGAAAGTAGCTAGAAAAATCATTCAAGGTCACGTGGATAGAAATTAGTTTGAACATTTATTTTTGTTCCAAGAGGGTCCAGTCTTCCAGGCTGTGGGGAGTAAATTGTTTACCTTTGAGAGTCCATAATTCTTTTATACCAAGAAGATTGTGTCTTTGATAATGTCCACATAATAAATGGGATCAGGCCCATTGCCCTTTATCCTGAACAGGGCAACAAAAATATTACTAAGGAGGAAAAAGCAACTAACGAAGCATAATTCTGTAGTTCTTACTTGCATGTGCACACCTCCCACTCCTCTCTATTTGCTGCTAGAAATAAATCTTGTTGCAGTAACCCAGAGACCCAGGAGAGCAGGGATGGGGAAGAACATAGGATGGCCGCCATCTCCAACCTCTCAGGCAGTCAGTGCCAGAAACTGTGTTTGGCAATGACATACCACTTTGTAAAACCTCAAGTGCCTTGACTTCTTTTATTATCCATTCCTCTCAGCCAACCCTGATTATAGGTTGGGCAGTCTGATTAATCTTCTCATTCCGAAAATACAGATACCATAGATAGAGTGAGCTAAAAGCTCTTGTTCATTTGGACTGGAGATTTTCAGCCTGTTTGGCCCTGTGGTTTATTTGGTTTATGGAACTTTCTGGAAGGGACACAAACCACTCTCTGCTTTTGGCTACAGAGGCTGCCAGGGACTCAAGTTAGAGACCCTTCCTGCAGGAGACTCCTCCTTGAGGGCTTGCCCCAAAGGATCCTGGCATATTCAGATTCCAAAACTAATGAGATGGTTAGAGCTTCCAGGCCTGGGTAAGTTAATGTCCACAACTAAACGTGTATCATCTGATAACATTCAGTGGGCGCTGGGCTTTCTGCACCAGTGATCCAAAACCCTGGGTAACATAGACATTTGCACTCCATCTGGAGCCGTGTCTCAGTCGGCATTTTAGCCCCAGCACTTACCACCAGCTTGGCAGTAGGTAGTAGATAAATGTTTGAGGGGCTAGGGTATCTAAGTTTACTTTATTAATAGATTCTTGGAGCCAGTTCATCCCTCTTTTCAGAGGAGGAAATTTGATTTTTACTGAGTGAAGTTCAAAGAAACACTAGCTGAATGATCCAGATAATTCCACCTTAACTCCACCCTGCATTTTGGCTTGATAAATTTGAGTTAAATTTGGACCGGTTTTAGGTAGGCATTTGAGTTATCAAGACACTTGATTCTGATGTACTGGGGAACATCAGAGGGCAGAAATCCGCATCTCTGGTCCTGGTTAGGGCAGGGTCCGTGTCTGAAAGTGTTCCCCTCTTGGCCTCAGGTATGTCTGCTGATGGGGCAATGAGGAAACTCGGAAACTGAGCCAGGAAGATGTTGCTGGGATTGGGTTGATGACAAAGAAAACCATTCCTTTCCGATATCTTACTCTGAAATTACTCTGGACTGTAACTCTTCATAAGGGTCTTGCTTTGAAATTCCCTAAAAATAAAGACCCGCCCTTGACTTACGCATCAACTGAGCAGGTAGAAGTGGTGAGCATAGAACCTGTGCCGGTCACTTTGTCATTGGTCCCAGATCCCAGAACCAGATTAGGACAGGACTTGAGGGATGAAGGTTTGTTCCACGGCAACTCTGACATTTGCAAGAAGTGGGGGCCTCTGGCATAAAATTGTCAGGCATGGACTTTGGTGGTAAAGTGGAGGCCAGAGGTCATAAGCCAAGTTCGAAGCTTGCCTGTGCCTGTCCCCTTCCCTCTGGACCTCAGCAGTGAAGAATGGTTGTTAGTAAGACCGCCAGTTTTCTGCCTTGCTCCTGCCAGACTGAGCCCTCACCTCTAACTCAGAGAGGACAAGGTTTTCTGAACACCTCTGCCCCCACCATTTCCAATCACAGATGACTGCTGGTTTTTGCTTACCTTTGTTTTCCTGATATTCTGTCTTCTTACTCTATTAATCAGTCTCAAAGAAGAGAAAGCAACAACAAAAAAAGATTTTTTTGTTTTGTCACAGTTAATTTCAAAAGAGGCTGAGCTAGGTGGAGAACATAGATTTACCATGAGGTTTGTTAAGCCTTAAATCCCACATGGAACTACTCTGAATGAGTTTTACATAAAGCCTTTGTTAGGAGAACCATACTGGCCTGTATTGTTGAAATGGGTTTTGTGGACTCTCCACAGAACCTACCTGTTGTTTGTAATATCGTTTGTGTGGGAGAATTTGCTTTTGTTCTAAACAACCAGGCACAGAAGAACACTCCCATTAAATTGCGGTCTAATTGCACAGATGCAAAAAGTGAATTAATAGTACTAGCTACCATATGATAAAGTACCGAATCAGTGGCCCCAAAGCGCTAGAGTTCAGAAAGGGAAACTAAACTAGCCTTCTGGATGGGGTGTCAAGAAAGCCTAGGAAGTGGCTAGGGTTCCAGCTGGATCCAGGAGGAAAGGTTCAGATGTGGATAGCCAGAGAATATCAGGGTCGAGTGTCAGCTGTGAGGAAGAGCAAAGAGAGGGTTTGGGGGCGGGCATCAGGAAGGAAATGGTGTAGGGATAGCATCCTGGCTGAATTGGAGTTTGTTTTTGGAAGGAATGATGATAGTAACTTCACTGTGTATCACTTTTAATGTTTACTGTCACACACATTATCTCGTTGAGTTCTCACAGTCTAATGAGGTGGACAACTTATGCTTTATAGAAGAAACAGGCAGGTGACCAGGGTCTTGATCAAGGCTGGCATCACTGGTATAAGTAATATAACTTGAACTCTAGCCCACTCTGTCTGTTGGTCCCCTCCCTTCCCACTGAGCCTGCTAAAGGAGAAAATGCTCCTTGGGAGGTAGGTACCAACCAGTGAGGAGATGGGCAGGAATTAATAGAACACAGTATGTTGTTCCCTGATTAATTTTAGTTGGGCAAGAATTGTTTATACTCTTCTTAAAGCTCAAAGTTTGACGTGTAGGGAGGCATTTGGCCATATAGCGTATTAGAGGAGATTTTGGAATTAGTGCTTCCCATCCTACCCTCTATATTAAGTAGAGGCATTTGTGTGTCTGTGTGTGTGTAGTGAAAATCTGTTTTTGATTAAAAGACAAAAACATAAGCAGGTGTCATTCTCACTGGAATACTGAGACCAGATAGTGTCTTTTCTCTGTTTCCTCTTCTGAACAAGAGATCAGCAGGCACTTCACAATTCTCTGTGCGTGCTAGGGGGCCTTCCACCCTCCAACAAGTAGATGTGTTTTATAACTGGAAGTGACTTTAGTGGCTACCAAGATCCCTTCATTTCATAGGTACCTTAACTCAGAGAGTAAGCGGCCAGCAGGGCCATCCAGCTGGTGTGTGGCAAGTCTAGGCCTAGAGTTGGCCTCTCCCAATTCCCAGGGCTGGTGCTCTGTCCACCCTGCAACCCCTAGAGAGCTGTTGTTCCAGGTGGCTTCAAGGTGGCTTTGGACACCCATGGAGAAAATCGGAGGGAGCGGGATCACCAGCCTCCCCGGGGGGCCTCCCAAAACACCCT